CAAAATCCACCAACCTTAGCTGTTTTGCTTGATTAAAAATGATTCGCACGGCCTCGTTGGTTACTGCATTCTCTCCAGAAATGATCATAAGGCTATGCAACTTTTCAGCACCATAAATGGAAGTAGGATGACAATGCCCCTCTGGTATACATGCTGTCAAATAATGAGCTTTTCTGGAAGACAAATCTGTCATTGAATTGCCTTCTGGATTGACCTCAATCACAATTCCATCATTGATCATCAAAAACTGTGCAAAATCATGCATAATGTCATGCATCTTCCATGTTGATTTTATACCATCTGTATCCAGCAGAAAATCATGGAAGAAAGACCTAGCTGCTAAGTAGCTAATGTACTCTCTTCCTTTTAATTCTAAATCTTCATCATTGTTCAATCCTAAATAGCCTTGTGCCATCCAGTGGTATATTATTGTTTCTCCGTCGTATACAAAATCTTTTGGGAAAACAGCACAATACTTGAAACATTGTCTCAGTGGTAAAGGCAAATCATTATAACTAAAAAGTAGAGAAGGAAAAAGCCCTAGCTGTGCAATCTCTAACTTCAAGATTTTACTGTTCAAGATCCTTTCCCACTCTCTCCTACTGCTCTTACCTCTTAGGAGGGCTCCTAAAGCCTTTGCAGTAAGAGGCAAGCCTTTACACTTGTTTGAAATTCTCTTCCCAATATCCTCCAAATTCTGACACTCTTCAACACCCCTTCCAGAAAATGCATCTTGACTGACTAACATCCAACACTGTTCATCAGATAACGGTTGCAAATGAATGACATGTGAGTCCACCATCATGTTTGCCACCATATCCTTACGAGTAGTTAACAAAATCCTACTCCCTGGGGCACCATGTTTGAAAGTCTGGATCAGTCCTTCCCACTGTCGCTTGTCATCTGCCCACACATCATCCAACACAAGAAAAAATTTCTTTCTGTGGATAGATATACAAATTCTATTAAGAAGGGCAGAAAGTGGAAATGAATCAAGGGAGTCCACTCCTTCAAAACTTATGAAACCCTCAACTCCTTTAATTATTGTTTTGGCAACATTATTCTCGTCAAATACTTCTGAGACACAAACCCATATTCTATGATCAAAATGCTCCATAACCACCTCATCCATGTAAACAAGTTGAGCTATAGCTGTCTTTCCCACCCCACCCATGCCAACAACAGAAATTGTCTTAAGTGGTTCAGTGGACGCAGACAACAAACTGCTTACAATGTCTCCCTTAACCTCATCTCGACCAATTATAGCTGACACATCAACAAAAGCTGTACTCCCAATCCCTCTGCTATGTTGAAACACAGATCTTTGTACTAAGCAGAGCCCATGTCCTCGATTGGCAATCACATATAGCCTGTCACTGATTTCCTTTAATTTGAAAGCAAGATCATCACGCCTAACAACTTGGGCAGTATGTAAACAGTGGGTGACGTAGGAGCCTACCTTAGCCTTCAGAATAGAAGTTTTTCCAACTCCTTTTATTCTCAACTTCATGAGTGTAGTGATCCACTCGTCCAACACATCCACCAGGTCATAAGCTGCATCTGTAAGCGAATCTATCCAAAGTTGGATAATTCTGTCGGTGTTTCTCCTTTGCTCTGCATCCTCAAGGAGAGCATTTAAGACCAAAAGGTTGTGCCTAAGCCTTTGGAGTTCATTTTTAGAATCTCTCCCCAGCCTCACCCCTTTCAATGATGCTACAGCTTCAACTCTTGCTATTAGCTCCAAGGCTGAGGGAACAAGTGCAGCTGCCATTTCTGGAGCTATGCATCAAAGAATGTATATTTATCAGCAAAATAAATAACGGAAGAGTAACATCATAGAAGACTTTGTGCAGATTGATACGTGGCTATATAAT